TTGTTTATATAAATTAGATTCATTTATAATTAATAGAACTATTGTATAACTTAAACTATGATAAATTTCTTTAGTATTAAGAAGTCAGTAAACCATTAAATTAAGTCTGCCCATAATGCCTAGGCATGACAGAAGCTCTCTTTGCACTGCAACTCATTATTGTAAATACATAATCTCAATGTACTACCTGCAAAGAAATAAAATTTGATTGACTGACTGATTGCTTTTTCACAAATTATTGTTTTAGAAATGCTGTCACCGGCCAATTGTTTTTCGTTAATCCACACTAACACAAGTTTTCCTATTTCTTCAATTATCTGTGACCTTTTCAGAACAAGAATTTTCACTCCTTTCATCACATCAGCACCTTCTATTGCCTCTATTTTTCAATATGGACTAAATAGTGGATTTTGCCATACCATACTGAGCAGCCAGGTCCAACACACGTGCTCCACTTTCCCTTACAAGAGTTCTTTTTTTTCACTTAAATTGTTGTTCTCACTTTCCTTTTAGGCTTGTTAGGATCACTACTCTTTTCTGGGGCCATGATTACTTACAGTAGACCGTCATTTAACATGGTAGCTACGCTCCTGAAAATGTCGTGTTAGGTAAAAACCATGCGAGATGAACTGAAGAACTAATGGGGAAAATAGGGTTATGTTCCTGGAAGCCCCAAAAAAGCCAAACAACTTTTTTTAGGCTTCCACATCTTACAAAAATAAAAGTGAATAGGTAACGCAGTTCATAGTTGTGATGTATTATGTTGTTTTTACTGCATAAGATTGCAAATGCAACAGCAATAATAGTATTTCTTACCTTAGACTGTGAATGCTGGCATTTGTGGATGATTGTGGAGAGAGGAGAGTTATGCTGTGGCCCTACTGGGCTGAGGTGGATGGTAGAGGTTCTGTTACTTAAGTCGATGGTTGTACTGGAGTGTGCATAAATTCTGTAATGGATTTCTGTTCTGTTTTACCCTACAGTACATTATACAATTGACAGTAAGGCATAAGCTGCTCTGGACACTGTTTCAGGGTCCTTTTCAGTGAAAAAGTCTAACTTTAAGTCATTAAGTAAGTCAGTAAGCCAGTCAAGTCAGTAAGCCAGTCAAGTCAGTAAGCCAGTCAAGTCAGTAAGCCAGTCAAGTCAGTAAGCCAGTCAAGTCAGTAAGCCAGTCAAGTCAGTAAGCCAGTCAAGTCATTCAGTCAAATTAGTTAGCCAGTCAAGTCAGTAAGTCATTCAGTCAAGTCAGTCATTCAGTCAATTCAGTCATTCAGTCAGTCAAGTCATTCAGTCAGTCAAGTCATTCAGTCAGTCAAGTCATTCAGCCAGTCAAGTCATTCAGTCAGTCAAGTCATTCAGCCAGTCAAGTCATTCAGTCAGTCAAGTCATTCAGTCAGTCAAGTCATTCAGTCAGTCAAGTCATTCAGTCAGTCAGTCAAGTCATTCAGTCAGTCAGTCAAGTCAGTCAAGTCATTCAGTCAGTCAAGTCATTCAGTCAGTCAAGTCATTCAGTCAGTCAAGTCATTCAGTCAGTCAAGTCATTCAGTAAGTCATTCAGTCAAGTCATTCAGTAAGTCATTCAGTCAAGTCATTCAGTCAAGTCATTCAGTCAAGTCATTCAGTCAAGTCATTCAGTAAGTCATTCAGTCAAGTCATTCAGTAAGTCATTCAGTCAAGTCAGTCATTCAGTCAGTCAAGTCATTCAGCCAATCATTCAGTCAGTCAAGTCATTCAGTCAGTCAAGTCATTCAGTCAGTCAAGTCATTCAGTCAGTCAAGTCATTCAGTCAGTCAAGTCATTCAGTCAGTCAAGTCATTCAGTCAAGTCATTCAGTCAAGTCATTCAGTCAAGTCAGTCATTCAGTCAGTCAAGTCATTCAGTCAGTCATTCAGTAAGTCATTCAGTCAAGTCAGTCATTCAGTCAAGTCAGTCATTCAGTCAGTCAAGTCAGTCAGTCAAGTCAGTCAGTCAAGTCATTCAGTCAGTCATTCAGTCAGTCATTCAGTCAGTCAAGTCATTCAGTCAGTCAAGTCATTCAGTCAGTCAAGTCATTCAGTCAGTCAAGTCAGTCAGTCAGTCAAGTCAGTCAGTCAAGTCAGTCAGTCAAGTCATTCAATAAGTCAAGTCATTCAGTCAGTCAGTCAGGTCAGGTCATTCAGTCAGTCAGTCAGGTCAAGTCATTCAGTCAGTCAAGTCATTCAGTCAGTCAAGTCATTCAGTCAGTCAAAGTCATTCAGTCAAAGTCATTCAAAGTCATTCAGTCAGTCATTCAAAGTCATTCAGTCAGTCATTCAAAGTCATTCAGTCAGTCAAGTCATTCAGTCAGTCAGTCAAGTCATTCAGTCAGTCAAGTCATTCAGTCAGTCAAGTCATTCAGTCAGTCAAGTCATTCAGTCAGTCAGTCAAGTCATTCAGTCAGTCAGTCAAGTCGTTCAGTCAGTCAGTCAAGTCATTCAGTCAAGTCATTCAGTCAGTCAAGCCAGTCAGTAAGTCATTCAGTCAATCAAGTCGTTCAGTCAGTCAGTCAAGTCATTCAGTCAGTCAAGTCATTCAGTCAGTCAAGTCATTCAGTCAGTCAAGTCATTCAGTCAGTCAAGTCATTCAGTCAGTCAAGTCATTCAGTCAGTCAAGTCATTCAGTCAGTCAAGCCAGTCAGTCAGTCAAGCCAGTCAGTCAGTCAAGCCAGTCAGTCAGTCAAGCCAGTCAGTCAGTCAAGCCAGTCAGTCAGTCAAGCCAGTCAGTCAGTCAAGCCAGTCAGTCAGTCAAGCCAGTCAGTCAGTCAAGCCAGTCAGTCAGTCAAGCCAGTCAGTCAGTCAAGCCAGTCAGTCAAGCCAGTCAGTCAGTCAAGCCAGTCAGTCAGTCAAGCCAGTCAGTAAGTTATTCAGTAAGTCAATCAGTCATTCAGTCAATCACACAAACTCATGTTTACCTCATTTTATGTGCACAAAGCGAGCTTCATTACGGCCACAGGTTATCTCTTGTCTAATATCTGTTTTCTTCATTAATTCTAAGACTAAATGCTTATAGCTTTTCTTGTCACTTTCAGCAACACTGGTATGCCTACTGGGTGACATGACTGCTTGGTAGATACAACATCTTTCTTTCTTTTAACACACCGGCTGTATCCCACTGAGGTGGGTTGGCCCAAAAGGAAAAACGAAAGTTTCTCCTTTTACATTTAGTAATATATACAGGAGAAGGGGTTACTAGCCCCTTGCTACCGGCATTTTAGTCGCCTCTTACGACAAACATGGCTTACGGAGGAAGAATTCTGTTCCACTTCCCCATGGAGATAAGAGGAAATGAACAAGAACTAGAAAGAAAACAGGGGAAAACCCAGAGGGGTGTATATATTTATATGCTTGTACATGTATGTGTAGTGTGACCTAAGTGTGAGTAGAAGTAGCAAGACATACCTGAAACCTTGCATGTTTATGAGACAGAAAAATGGACACCAGCAATCCTACCATCATGTAAAACAATTACAGGCTTACATTTTACACTCACTTGGCAGGACAGTAGTACCTCCCTGGGCAGTTGCTGTCTACCAACCTACTACCTAGATAGATACAAGATATGGTAATCAAAAGATCAAAACACAATTCACAGACACAGCTAGCTTGTAGGAGAGAAGAAAAACTGGACGCGTATGAAGTACGAATGCTGGGATGGTGTGTCGGGGGGGGGGGGGGGGGGCAGGAGATGGTGGAGGTCTCCCCCGCTGATCCACAAAAAGGCTGCTGCTTGAGGAAAAAGAAATTTTTTCCCCTCCAGCAAACTGAACGTGTTAAATTAATTTCACAAAGTGTTGTATAAAACTGTGCTGCAATTCTTCAATCGTGCTATACCCGAATTGTGCCAAATAAACTTGTGTTGAATGAAGGTCTACTGTATTTTCAATGAAAATATTTAAAAAACACCACAGAATAACAATGAAATACCAGAAAGTTTCACAGTGCTTGTATGAACGATGCTTAACGAACAAAAGCTGATGAGAGATTGAGTGTGCGATGCTTTGTTTTCATCAAACTTCGTCCAGATGGAACTTTTTGTTTAGGTTGAATATCAGGGTAACATCCGAATACCAAGCCAAATTTTTCTTGAAAAAGTTGGCCGAATATCAAGTTATACGAACATAGGGATGTACGAATATTGAGGTTCCACTGTACACGAGTCTCCTTATATATACAGTATTGCCTATGCTCACCTAGTAACAAATAAGTACTTGGGTAATGATTGAATGTTGTGGGTCACTTCATGGTAAATGGTCCAATATTATCATCTCAAATACTCAAGAGCTTCCTGTATTGCTACATGAAATTTATACTAGTGAGCATCTCTCAAACAAACTTTGTCATTAGTCATAACAGTCACTTCAAATAATGAGACAAGCGGTGAACATATTAAACACTGTACTCTTAAGCATTTTTAAACATTTTTTTAACACAGCCATTTCCCACCTAGGCAGGGTGACCTGAAAAAGAAGGAACACTTTCATCATCACTCACTCTATCACTGTCTTGCCAGGGGCATGCCGATGCTACAGTTCAAAAGCTGCAACATATTTCCATCCCTCCTTCATAGTGCAGGCACTGTATTTCCCACCTCCAAGACACAAGTCTGGCTAACCAGTTTCCCTGAATCCCTTCATAAATGTTACTTTGTTCACACTCCAACAGCATGTCAGGTCATATAAAACATTTGCCTCCACTCAATCCTATATAACACTCTCACTCGCACTTGCTGGAAGTCTAAGCCCCTTGCACACAAAACCTCCTTTACCCCATCCCTTCAACTTTTCCTAGGATGACCCCTACCAGCCACAAAATTTTACAATCCATGGAGATTGCCAATAACATCCAGCAAATATCTTAATGTTTTTGATCAAATTATCTTATTCAGAAGTGCTGAAACTAATAAAAAAATTAATAATAATAATAATACTGTAATCCAATTAAACCTGAAAGGTCATACAGCTGCCCACATTATAAAATCACCTTGGAGAGCCATGAGTGAGAGTGAGGCATGGAAAGCATAACCCAGAGAGGGTGCCAGAAACATGCGAGCGGACCTCCAGGTGTAGAGTGGAAGATTGATCTTGCCAAGACTCACCAGCAATTCCAAGATGATTATAGTAACAAACATCTGAAATTATTAAAATAAATTAGTATCTGAGTGCCTCTGCAGACAGTGATTATGTGTGAGTGATGGTGAAAGTAATGAATGATGATGAAAGTTTTGTCTTTCTTTTTGGGACACCCTGCCTCGGTGGAAAATGGCTGAAGTGTTAAAAAAAAAGAGAGAGATTAAATTACTACCTCTGGTTTTAAACGGTATGATGATACTGACCAACTGTGGATCGATGAAATCACTCATAACAAAACGTTTCCTCTAATAAATGTCCTGTACTGTACACAAGTGTTCTTTTCCACACTACTTGTCTGACTCGTGTAAATATACCAGATGCATCAAGAAAGGTTAATTTTGAATTCCCTGGGTACACAGAGTGGTAGAACACTGCAACCACTAGAAATTAAAAAAAAAAAAAACATACATTAAACTGATTAAATTCTTTTTCAGCATAGCTAAAAAAAAATTGTCTATAGTGTCTCTAAATATCAAATCAAAGTTTATTCTCTATAAGGATTACAATGTGGGGTTTACAGATTTTGGTTATTGTGTGGGTTACATGTAATAAAATACTAATTACAGAGTGGGCCACTAGAATACCTAGCAAGGCTAGGTCTTTTGGGCAAACTTAGATTAATTCTTAACCCTAAATTATTACAAATTGTGGAGTAAGTTGACTAAATACTAAGTGACTAAATACTAGTTTGTGAGTTTAGCAATGTGAATGTTTTTGTTTTGGCACAATACATAGTTTCTATATTGGAGTATCACAGGCAAACTTGTGACTAGTTAGGAATTTTAAGATTAAGATACGTATTTCTGTGCTTATAGTCAAATGGGTGAGCGAGTGAGTGTAAGTGTGAACCACCAGGTGGTTTTTGTGTAGTTAGTATACAGTATACAGCCTCTCCTCACTTAACAATGGAGTTCCATTCCTAAGACCACATTGGTAAACAAATTTGTCGCTAAGTGAGGAGCATACAATAATGGTAGAGAGCTTGTGTCAACCATCTTTGATATTGTTTTAATGTCACCTTTTCACCATTTATAACATTTTTAGTACACATGTATTTTTAAATGTTTATACAGTAGTGTACTGTATATTGTAATAAACAGAACAAAGGAAATCAGCTCTAATATTCATTATTTAGGTATGCATACTGATCAGAGTCCACTGTACATCTGAGTCGTCGGTAAACGAGTACATACGTCGCTAAGTGATGAGAGGCTGTATTAGAATTCTTTCGTAATCATAATTTTAACTTCTATTTTCAAAATATTATATGTGCAGAAATGTAGCAAAAAGAACTGAAAAGCCCACAGTATGTGTATGTACAGTATGTAGCAAATACTGTTATAGCAGAAACAATCCTTGGAGGCAGCACAGATGAAAGGTCACATACACACATGAGCAACTAAATCTCTGCGATAAACACACCTTAAGTCAGCAGATAGAGAAGCCAACAAGACTAGAAAACACACTTGACCTTATCTTCACAAATAATGAGGACCTGGTAAGAGACATAACAATATCAAAAACAACTAATTCCTATCACAATCTAATCGAAGTTCTGACTTGCATGCACAAGGGTCCTGATCAGCAGAATGTATGTATCTGTGAAGGTGTCTTCACAAAATACAACTTCAACAACAAGAACATCAACTGGGACCAGGTAAACTATGTCTTAAATGAAACATGCTGGAAAGATATCTTAATTAACATGGATCCAAACCAGTGCCTTGAAAAGATCAACTTCCTGGCAGCTGAAGTAGGTTCTAGGCATATTCCCCTAAGAAAGAAGAAGAGCAGGAGTAAACTGGAGAGAGAAAGACGCTCCCTCTACAGAAGGTGACGAAGAATCACCGAACTCCTCAGGAACGCTAGATTATCTGATACATGGAAAGAAGTGCTGACAAAGAAAGTGGAAAATATCGAACTTAAGTTAAAGGACTCTTACAGAAACCAGGAGAGATGGGAGGAGCTTAAAGCGATTAGTGAAACTGAAAGAAATTCAAAATATTTCTTTTCAGATGCCAAAAACAAGGCAAATACCACATCTAGTATTGGGCCCTTGCTCAGACAGGATGGGACTTACACAGATGCCAACAAGGAAATGAGTGAGATACTGAAATGCCAATATGACTCTGTTTAGTGAGCCACTAATCAGTCTGAAGATTGACAATCCAAGTGATTTCTTCATGAATGAGCCTCAAGACTCCATCAATGTATGCCAGATTTCCGACATTACCCTAACTCCAATAGACTTTGAAAAAGCCATTGACAACATGTCCATGCACTCAGCCCCAGGCCCAGACTCGTGGAACTCTGTGTTCATTTTGAACTGCAAGAACCCCCTTTCATGTGTCCTAAGTACACTATGGAGAAGGAGCTTAGACATGGGTGAAATTCCACAGTCACTTAAAACAATGGATATAGCCCCACTCCATAAAGCTGGCAGCAAAGCATTAGCTAAGAACTATAGACCAATAGCTCTAACGTCCCACATCATAAAAAATCTTTGAAAGAGTGCTAAGAAGCATGATTGCAAACCACCTGGATTCCCAAAAACTGCACAATCCAGGGCAACATGGGTTCAGGGCAGGTCGCTCCTGCCTCTTGCAACTACTGGATCACTATGATATGGTCTTGGATGCACTGGAAGAAAAACAGAATGCAGACGTAATATACACAGACTTTGCAAAAGCGTTTGATAAGTGCTATCATGGCGTAATAGCGCACAAAATATGTGCTAAAGGAATAACTGGCAGTGGGGAGATGGATCTTCAACTTCCTAACCAATCGAACACAAAGAGTAGTGGTCAACAGAGTTAAATTGGAAGCTGCCATAGTGAAAAGCTCTGTTCCACAAGGCACAGTACTCGCCCCCATTCTGTTCCTCATCCTCATATCAGACATAGACAGAGATGTAATCCACAGCACCGTGTCATCCTTTGCAGATGATACTAGGATCTGCATGAGACTGTCATTTACTGAGGACACGGTTAACCTCCAAGAAGATATAAACCAAGTTTTCCAGTGGGCAACAGAAAACAATATGTTGATCAAAGAGGACAAATTCCAACTACTCCGTTATGGAAAACTGGAAGAGATAATAACTAGAACAGAGTATACTACAAACTCTGGCCATACAATAGAGCGAAAAAATAATGTAAGGGACCTGGGAGTGGTAATGTCTGAGGATCTCACTTCCAAGACCACAATAATGCCATATCACAAGTGCAAAGAAAATAATAGGATGGGTAATGAGAACGTTCAAAACAAGAGATGCCAAGCCAATGATGATTCTTTTCAAATCACTTTTTCTCTCTAGGCTTTAATCTGCTGTACATTAATATCTCCATTCAAACCAGGTGAAATAGCAGATCTAGAGAGTGTACAGAGAACCTATACTGTACGTATAAGTTCTATCAAGCACCTCAACTACTGGGAATGCTTGGAAGCACTCGACTTGTACTTGCTGGAACGCAGGAGAGAGAGATATATCATAATCTACACTTGGAAAATCCTAGAAGGACTGGTCCCGAATCTGCACACAGAAATCACTCCCTACGAAAGTAAAAGACTAGGCAGGCGATGCAAAATACTCCCAATTAAAAGTAAGGGCACCATTGGTACACTAAGAAAAAACACGTAAGTGTCTGGGGCCCAAGACTGTTCAACAGCCTCCCACCAATCATAAGATGAATTACCAATAGGCCCCTGGCTGCCTTCAAGAGGAAGCTGGACAGATACTTAAAGTCGGTGCCGGATCAGCCAGGCTGTGATTCATACATTTGACTACGTGCAGCTAGCAGTAACAGCCTGGTTGATCAGGCTGTGATTCATACATTTGACTACGTGCAGCTAGCAGTAACAGCCTGGTTGATCAGGCCTTGATCCACCGGGAGGCCTGGTCGTGGACCAGGCCGCGGGGGCGTTGGTCCCTGGAATACCCTTCAGGTAGACTCCAGGTACCCTAGTTGGATACAGCCTGCTGTTCTATTTCTGCTTTTTCTTTAGTTATTTCGGCATAACCAACTTCTATTGTAGTAAAACATTCTGGTCCTTTCATTACCTTCTCTAAGTTTTTCCTATTTTCCTTGATATCACAAGTTAGCTGCAACTGTTTATCTAATTTTGCCTTATGCTTTGCTGTCCTTGAATAACTTTCTTCTATAAGTACAGTATGTACTTAAAAAAAAAAAAAATCTCAGTGTACCTTGTCAGTGTGCTCTGCCTCACTAAACTCTATTGTGTAATTCCCACTTATTTACATCATGTGCAACAATTGCACTATTAACCCGTAAACGGTCCAAGCAGATCTACGTTCACATGTGTAGTGCTACAAAAGTAAATCTAAGTATTTTTTACATATTTTCAAATATAACAAAAAAAAAGTAGATCAAAGTTTTTTACACATTTTCAAATGTAGAAAAACAAAAAGAAGATCTACTTTTTTTACATACTTTCAAATGTTGAAAAAACGTATACAGTGGACCCTCGACCAGCGATGGCATCGATTAACAATAAATCCGACCAGCGATACATTTTAGCGCAAAAATTTTGCCTCGACTAGCGCTAAAAAACTCGACTAACACTATTCGTTCCGCGGTCGCTTCCAAGCATACAATCGGAACATTTCATATTATCACAGCCTTTTTAGTGATTGCACCTGCAAAATAAGTCACCATGGGCCCCAAGAAAGCTTCTAGTGCCAACCCTACAGCAAAAAGGGTGAGAATTACTATGGATATGAAGAAAGAGATCATTGCTAAGTATGAAAGTGGAGTGCGTGTGTCTGAGCTGGCCAGGTTGTACACAAAACCCCAATCAACCATCGCTACTATTGTGGCCAAGAAAACGGCAATCAAGGAAGCTGTTCTTGCCAAAGGTGCAACTATGTTTTTGAAACTGAGATCACAAGTGATAGAAGATGTTGAGAGACTGTTATTGGTGTGGATAAACGAAAAACAGATAGCAGGAAATAGCATCTCTCAAGAGATCTTATGTGAAA